GTGAATTAGTGGAAAATAAGAATTTTTTAAACCAATCACAATCGAGGAAATTGTAATTTTTATGATTAAGTTTGTAACATAAATGAAAATTATGGAACTTAAATTCGATATTAAATGGATTAGAAAATAGTTTAGGTAATTATAGGATAAGTGGATTGATGCATTTTACGATTTTAGTCTGACATGATTTGGCTTTAAAATTCATTCCCCACTGAATTTAATACCAGAACAGTTGTCATCGCTGATTTTATTTCTCACCCATTAACACCTTCATTTGTCTGGTTGAATACAATCAAAAATTTTACAATGAACAAATCTTCAGGGAAAAATAAGCGAGTCCTTTTTTGTACTTGTCTCTCAGGGAACCATTAATATCCTCTCGATCTCTTTCAAATACCTCATTTCTGTTCTGAATGTGGTTTCCAAATTGCCGTGTTATCTGATCATATCCGAAAGCTTTTTTTAACATCCTGATTGATTCTCGCTAAAACGTTGTGTCGATTCAGCAAATTGTGCAGTTCTCTTTTTTTCAGTAGATAACGATATTTCAAACTCTGCCGTATGCCCGTTTTGACTGAGTCGTTTTCAAATAACTTGAGATCATTAATTTATTTATTTGCAAACATAGATTGAATACTCTTCTATTTTGTCCTTGTTTCTGTTTCTTGACCTTGGTTTATGTTGCAAGCAGACTGATAAAAAGGGAAATGGCTTCTCATTAGATATGTGCACATGAAAAGTGTTTTTCTCGGTTTTTTTTTTGTTTTTTTTTCAATGTATAGCTTTCTTATTTAGAAACTCCGGCACCTCGGTTTCCGTTCAGTTGTAAAACAGAACTGAGCTGTGCTAGATATATATATATTCTCAAACAGCTGCTGAAAACGTTCCGGCTTAACGAATTGAGCGCTTGTAAGATCGTGTTCGTTAGGCAGGAATTACAGGCAGTCTAGCTAACTAGCGATACCAGATGGTCACGAAGTCGGCGCAACGAAAAGATATTCATGGATAATCCCTCTCTGTAGTGAATACTCACTTCAGTTTAATTTCAGTGGTCATTTACATCCGATCCATTCTGTCGTGCCAAGAGATACTGCATTATCTAAAATGATCACTGGCAGTACAAATCCAGCTGCTAGCACTTCAAGCCAAGTACAGTCCGAGTTATTTTGCCCACCAATGCAAACATGGATTTTGAGCGACACAGCCTTGTTCAAGATGACCGCAGCGGCTACAATCATCATTTGTCCTGTCACCGTTTTTCTAAACATTTTAGTTATCATAGCCGTAAAAAGGAGAAGAGACTTGCAAAACATCAACTCCAACATTCCGTTCGCAAACATGGCGGTAGCTGATATTTTAGCGGGTGCTGTCTCCATGCCATTAACCATTATTTCAGATGTTTTAGTCCTTGCCAAGTTTCTAGACACCGGAGTTTTTTGTGGAATAACTTTCGTGAACGACAATGTATTGTATATCGGTAGTTGTTAGTCTGTGTATCATCTCACTGTAATTGCTTGGGAGAGGAACGTGGCCATAGGAGAATGGGCAGATTACAAAGTTATTGTTACCAGAGGCCGTGTTAAGAAGTTTGCAAAAACTGCTTGGCAGTGCACCGTGTTGACACCAATCCCACCAGACGTAATGAAAATCGCCGGTGTCGAGTACAAGTACATTCTACTCATCGACATAGCTTGCGTTCTCCGAGGAACTGTGTGCATGGTGCTAATCGGCTATCTCTACGTACGGGTTTATTTCTGTGTGCGTAAGCAAGAAACTGAAAAAAACAAAAACAAAAACAAAAACAAACAAAAAAAACAGAAATGTCGGTTTTCTGGTCAAAGCCAAGCTCACCACGAAAGTTGCCAAAACGACAGCATCCTATCAGTGGTGGTGTATCCAGTGATCAGGGCAATGATAGACGAATTAGACCTGCCCAGTCGTTGGACGACCTTCAAAGGATCGACCTCGTGCCAAGATCAAGATCAAAAACCATGGCAACCCTAGCAAGCAATGATATTCGAGAAACTGGTGGGCAAGTGACGCGAGAAAGACGTGTGTCATTTCAAACGCCTTCAACAAACGTAACGATCTGTCTCGATGTTTACCAACCAAAAACCATTACAACAGTGCCGGTACCAGGAATCCAAGTTGAAACCGGTACGTCACTAAGAGGAAGCCACACGCATGTTCAAGCAACTAGCGACAAGCGTCAAGCCTCCGTCCAGGCCTACTCCCAGCCATCACTTCACTCTCAAGCCTCGAGCCTTCAACCAGCTCAAGGTTCCCGGCAGCATCTCCGTCAAAGTCCTTGGATGAACACACTTATTCGTCGAAAAGATTGGCAGTCAGCACAATTGCCAACACGGAGTGGAGAGAAGACCGAGGACCTCACTACCAACCTCTTGAAGAGATAAGAGGATGCCAATTGTTAGCTGACACATTTAACAGCAAAATTGCCAGGCTGGGATTTTCAGAGGGCGTGGACGTCGGTAGAGGCTTGAATGAACCTTCGGTCACGCTCCGACAATTAACTCTCCCACAAATATGGCCCTATTTAAAGTTCAGGCGCAAACATCTTTAAGGTAATAGCCCACACAGACCTGCTCAATCATTCAAATGTAAGTCTGTGGGCATGTTTTATAAGTTAGCTCTTAAAGAAAGATATAGCATTTTTGATTTACTATAAGCTCATTAATGTAGCCTTAAGCCGGGCCTGTGTATTTCTTCCTTCCGTCTTGAGGCGTAGATATGTCTCTGGAACCACACCCCAAGTGTTTCAGTATGTGTGATTTCGATTTTTTTGTCTACTGGCTGAGACATTTTGACAAAGAAATTTGCCTGGAAGTCAACAGACGTTCAGACGTTTCAGTTGGGGAAGCGGAACAGATATAAATTTTCTCATAACTAGAAAAACTTATTGCCTGTTTGTTGGTCTCTTTGTGGCCACGATGGTCGCCGCTCGGGATTAGCAGATTATGCAGTGATCTATATTGTTTGGAAATATCCAGGAATTGTCGTTTAACTATAAAGGATAACAACACTTGAAAATACGTCTTCTGGACTAACTCAGGGCCATTAATTTCTTTTTACATTGCATCCCGCCCACATTGGCTACAGTTGCAGTTTAAAGGGCCCTAGTCAGCCACACCTTTGTTTTTGTTTACATGCGAGAGTTTGGCTATTATATTTTATTCGGAGCATGCAAAAATGAAGGAAATCACTGTGAAACTACTAAAGATAATTAAACATACTTTCAGGAACACAACTTACAACAAAGCAATAAGATTTCGCTTCACCATGCAATATCAAAAATTTCGACGGCGAAAATGGCGGAGTCTGACTAGGGTCCTTTAAGCCCTTGTATTTATTCAGTTTCTTTTTCTTGTTTTATGCTGAAGAAGTATTATTAAAGAAATGATTTCCTCATTAGTTGTTACTGATAAATGTGTTTTTCGTCTTTTTCAAGATAATACTTTTCACCCAGGGTTTAGAAACTCAAGTGGTTCGGATTTCTTGTTTAATTTGGCTCCAGCTTTCTGTTTATTTGCATACATGTAACAGAACTGAGAGCAAATGTTCTCAAACAGGTGCTGAAAATGTTTAATAAACAAGTTTGACGTTCACTCCTAGAGCGCGTTTGCCGGAAGAAGATTTAAACAAGAGATAAAAGAGAATCATTAACACGAAACCGTGAAATAATCGCGCCCAAACCTCAGAAGCAAAGCCTGGTTTTCACCAGCGACGAAAGCACAAGCGCAAGCACAAACGCAAGCAATAGGGATGACCTAAGTGAAAAGAAATTCGACGCAAACACAAGCACAAGCAGAATCATCCGAATCTTCCAAACTGTTTAGGCGCGAGGTAATCTGGATCCAGTGTTTGGTGAATTTTCATGTAAACAGTTTGTTGCTACTTTTATTAAATAAATGTCGCTCGGTATGGAGGGCAACCCAGCACCAAGGGAAGTGCTTAGGTCGAGAGCGAGAAAATGGTGGGATCGGAGATCAAATTTTCGTGATTGTTTTCCAGTGATCGGCAAAAATGTTCCTTCAAAAAATTCTAAAGGGAGAAACGGAGACTACCGTAATTCAGAGCTGCTCGGGACCTTAGATGAGGATTGCATATATTTTTTGACCAGACGCAGGTTGTCCTAGGAAAGCGCAAAAGCGTGCGCGGCAATGTCGAAAGGTATTGTGGGTAATGATGGGTCACGGTTGTTTGATTGCTTGCCGAACTCTATGTGTTTCAGCGTGGTACTGCAGGAGACAGCACAAACACGGGTATCCATGCTTTCTCTTTCTTCCTGCTGAAAAACCGTGAACTTCAGTCGAGCAACGACAAACCATAGCAGTATACCAATCGGCATTGTTGGGTACGCTACTGCTCTTTTGTGGAACAACCTTTTGTCGAAACCACTATACACAACAAAAGCAGTCATGGTGCAATTGCTATCGCTGAGTCAACACCATTAGAACACTCTGAATCAACCGTAAGAAAACACGATGAAATTGACATAACTGATAATTGTTATACCTAATAATTGAACGACTTGCTTTTCATTTCGGCACGCACTAGGGTACATGTTGTAGGCACATGTTACGGGGACATGAGGCGGGGACATGAAGCGGGAGCATGAAACGGGGACATGAAGTGGGGACATGAAGCGGGGACATGAAGCAGGGATATGAAGCAGGGACATGAAGCGGGGACATGAAGCGGGGACATGAAGCGGGGACATGAAGTAGGACATGAAGCGGGGACATGAACCGGGACACGCAGCGGGGAGATGTTTCAGCGACAATTTGTGCCCGTTCTTGCGAATTCGTGCGTCATGAAGCAGCTAGGACAAAATGACCTCAATTTTCAATGTCGCATTGTGTGCACTGCT